GATCCTGAGATGCCAACTTCCTGGCCCAGGCTGGAGAATCTGCAGCTTCAGCGGTGCCGCCCAGAGTTCCCAGCACGACTGCTCAGCTGACTTCGCGGAGGCCTTGGCACCCCCGTGAGCAGCGCACTGTGCCCTGGATTCGGGCCTGCCCTGTCCAATGCAGCTGGGGTTCCAGGGGGTGCATTTCTTCACATTCTCAAGAGGCTGCAGAGCAGATGCCTACCCCACCCTAGGCTGTGAAGTATGACAGCAAATCTGAGGCCTGACAGGACCCAGGCATCGTTTTCTGGGTCCTGTGTTGGTGGTGGGAGAAGGTGTGACTGTTGGCAGGACCCATGGAACTTGGTGCTGGCGGCTCTGCGGTGCCACTCAGCTCTCGGTACTCCTCACGGAGGTTGTGTTCCTGGTGTGGGTCGGGTTGGAGCAGAGCAGAGCAGTGGGGAACTAGCCTCAGTGATATCAGGAAGTTGGTCACTTGCTGGTGCACAGCCCAGCCCATAGCCTTGCCATAGAGACTGCAGACTCCAGGACTGGGCCGCCTCAGGCCAAAAAAACAACTAATAGAGAGGGCTCACAGTCCCACCCATCAGCAGAAAATTGGATTAAAGATTTACTGAGTGTGGCCTTGCCCACCAGAGCAAGACCCAGTTCTCCCCACAGCCAGTCCCTCCCATCGGAAGCTTGCACAAGCCACCACTCTCCCCCACAACTCCTGGTAACCATTGATCCTTTTACAATCCTTTTGATGTTGCCATTGTTCTGGATTTTGGCCTTTCTATTACTAATCGTGTGCAGTGGCATGTCACGGTTGTTTTAACTTGCATATCTCTGATGACATATGATGTGGAGTATCATTTCATGTACCATCTGTGTATCTTTAGTGAGGTGTATGTTATAATGCTGACCTCGTAGAATGAGTTAGGAAGTGGTCCCTCTGCTTCTGTCTTCTGAAAGAAATTGTTAGAGAATTTGGCATAATTTCTTCCTTAAATTGTTGGTAGAATCCACGAGTGAACCCATCTGGGTCTGGTGCTTTCTGTTTAGGAAGTTTATTAATTATTGATTCAATTTCTTTAACAGATACAGACTTATTCAGATTGTCTATTAGTATTTTTCTTGTGTGAATTTTGGCAGATTGTGTCTTTAAAGAAATTGGCCCATTTTGTTTATTAAATCTGTGGGCATAGATTTGTTCATAATATTTCTTTACTATCTTTTTAATTCCCAAGGTATCTGTGGTCGTGTCCCTTCTTTCATTACTAATATTAGTGATTTGCATTGTCTCTCATTTATAGCTATTGCAGCTTTCTTTTGATTAGTGTCAGCTTGGTATATCTTTCCTTATCTCACTATTTTTCACTTATATGTATCTTTATATTTAAAGTGGGTTTCTTGTAGACAACATATAGTTGGGTCTTGTTTATTTTTAATCCACCACGACATTCTCTTTCAATTTGTACATTTAGACTATTGCTATTAAAAGGGATTGTTGATATTGTTGGATTAATATTTACAACCTTTGTTTGTTTTCTATTTGTTGTCTTTTATTTTTGTTCCTATTTTGTTTTCTACTCTCTTTTGCCTTTTATAGTCTTAATTGAGCAATTTATATGATTTCATTTTCTCTCCTGTCTTAGCATATCAGTTGTACCTTTAAAACAATTATTTTAGTGGTTGCTCTCGAGATTGCAATACACATTTACAACTAATCCAAGTCCACTTTCAAATAACACTATACAGTGTGGGTACCTTATAATAATAAAATATTCCTAATTCCTTCCTCTTGTCCTTTGTGTCATTGCTGATATTCATTTAACATGTATGTCAATATACATAATATATATACTTACATCTGTCTGTGTGTTAGTCACTCAGTCATGTTCAACTCTTTGCAACCCCATGGACTGTAGCCCACCAGGCTCTTCTGTCCATGGGATTCTCCAGGCAAGAATACTGGAGTGGGTTGCCGTGCCCTTCTCCAATATACTTACACACTTGTAATATATACTTATGTATACATAGATATACATATATGTGGTAGGAAGATAGATATATTTAATCAGATTCATTTTGCTATTATTATTTTGAACTATTTTTTCTTTTATCTTCACTTATTCCTTCTCCAATGTTCTTTCTTTATGTAGATTTGAGGTTTTGACCTATGCAGTTTTTCTTCTCTCTAAGGAACTTCTTTTAACATTTTTTGCAAGGCAGGTCTCCTGGCAACGAATTCCCTCAATTTTTGTTTGTCTCAGAAAGTCTTTATTTCTCCCTCACTATTGATGAAGCAGTTATTTTGCAGGGTATAGAATCCTCAGTTGTTGTTGTGTCAAATATTTCTTTTGTTTATTTTTTCTTTCTTCTCTCTATATTCCCATTATGTGTATATTACACCTCTTGTAGTTATCCCACAATTTTTGAATATTCCATTCTGTTATGGATTTTTGTTTATTTTTTTGTCTTTGTTCTCTTTGCTTTTCAGTTTGAGAGGTTTCTATTGAGACATCCCTAAGCTCAGAGACTCTTTCCTCAGCTGTGTTAAATCTACTAATAAGCCTCTAAAAGTTATTATTTCTGTTGCACTGTTTTTGATCTCCAGCATTTCTTTTTAGTTCTTTCTTGGACTTCCCACATGCCAGTTTGCAATGCCTACCTGTTTTTGCATGCTGCCTACCTAATGCATTAGAGCCCTTAGCATACTAATCATAGTTGTTTTAAATTCCTTGTTTGATAATTCCAACATTCCTTCCATATCTAAGTCTGGTTCTGCTGCTTGCTCTTTGTCTTCAAACTGTTTTTTGCCTTTTAGGACATCTAGTGATTTTTTTCCTTTTTGATATTCAGACACAATGTACCACGTAAAGGGTGCTGCTGTAAATTGGCTTTTTAGTGGGGGAGGAGAGGTTCTGTTTTTAGGGTCCCATCTTCTGAATTGCTGCACCTCCAGACTGTGAGCATCTCCATCTTCCCATCCTCCTTAGGCAGGACTGGGTGACTGGCGTTATATTGGTGGACATATCATTATTTATCTAACTAACCCTCTTTGTACATTTGTCTCTAGTTTTTCTCTAGTTGAGCAAACACTGTAATGAGCATGTTCAGAGCTGAATCTTCTTGCGTGTCTTTGATCTTCTTAAGAAAGAGGCTCTAGAAATGTTCTTTCAGATCCGTGTGTATGCAGGGTCTCACATTTGATAGGACTTGCCAAACTGCTGCCGCAAGTTTATATCCCTGACAGCAGTGGTCAAGTGCCTGTAGACTTCACACTGACCACACTGGCTGGCTTATGTTCATCCCTGCTTATCTGATAGACACCCAAAGAACAAAGAGGAGAGAAGGAATTTTCCTCTCTAAAGTTGTACTTTTTGAATGTTAGGTATTACATTTTAAAATGTATTTAACAGCAGTTTGGTTTTCTTCCTTTTTGTAAATTATGTGATTTTTGCCCTTGGCCTGTTTTCCTTTTAAGCAATTTATCTCTTTTTCCTGTTGTGTCTCTAAGTCCTCATGTAGCAAGAATATTCAGTCTTTCTTTCCAATTCTCTGCAAGTATTTTTCTAGAGTATTTGCCTTTTTGTCTTTTTCTTGCTGTTTTTAACGTAGAGGATTTCATTTTTCTCTAGCCAAATCTTTGTTATTTACTTCTTAAGACCATCCCCAGTTCAAGATTAAACATCTATCCATATTTTCTTCTTGGACTTTTAAGGTTTTTTAATATTTCTTTTCCCTAACATTTAAATCATTAATACTTATGGAATTAATTTTGACATATGCAGTGAATTAGAGAATCAACTTTATCTTTTTAATGATTAGCCAATTTTAATCACACTTTCTAATTGATTATTGGCGGTAGATGGGGAAACCAATGATTTTTATGTATTTATTTTTAAATTTGCAGCTTTTCTCAAGTTCTTACTTATTCTAATTTTTAATTGATATTCTGTTTTTCTAGGTAGAAAATTGTATGGTCTTTTTTCCAGTATTTGTACTTCCTATTTTTTCTTTTATTTCTTTGAGTCTAATTTCTTGACCAGTCTCAAATAACAGTGTGGATATTGTGTATTTTATTTGTTTTACCAAAATTAATCTGGCATTTTTTTCTTTTTAATTTTACAAAATTAAATGTCTTTTTTTGTTGTTTTATTTTGCTTTCGCAAAAGCGCTGACTCATAATAAGCCTGCGGTTGTCTTTTCCTTTGCGCCACCGGCAGGATCTCAGCTCCACGCTTTGGCTGAATCTGAGTGGAGCTCACTGTGGGCACAGGGCTCTCCTGGTCGCCCCCGAGTAGTTCCACTGTTCCCCTGGCCTCACCAGCCTGGGCCCCGACGCTCGCTGCTGCCCGTCATCCCCTCACTCCTCATCCCGCCCCCCACCTTGTCGCTGTCCCTGCACCTGTGGGTTCACCAGGCAGGTCGTCCCCTTGCTCCTTGTCCTCTGCCACCCTCATCGACTGTCCTATCAGCTTCGGGCACCTGTGTGGGCATTAGGTGGGGCCACCCTCTCTGGCCACCTGTCTCCCTGCTTTACAACCCTCCTGTCTCTGCCTCTGTCCGCCTTCTGCCTCTATCCTTGATACCGTCTGGCATGACGAATTTAACAGGCTTGTTCAGACTTCCACGACTCTAAGTAAATGAATTAGATTGGGTCATATTTTGTGTTTTGATGGAGGTAGAAACACAGAAAGGATTAGTTGAATTTATATTTATTGAAAACAATCTTATCCATAAGTAATTACTAGGAACATGAATTTTGAAGTGCTCACTAGATTGTAATTGCCATACACTTCCATCGGAGGGTCTTGGCCTCGAAAATCAATACCAGAGAGGAAAAGCGATCGCAGGTGAAGATGTGGGGATGAACGGTTTTCATGTCAGATCTCATAACGAGTCATCACTTAGAGTCTTTCCTCAGCATCAGTAACACTGACTGATCTCTTGGTTCTGTTTCTTTGTCTGTTTTCGTGCATGTCCCTGGGCTTGTCTCCATGGGCCACTTCCAGGATGAAGTCTTGACCGTAATCAGAAGAGTGGATGACAACTGGGCAGAGGGCAAGCTGAGAGACAAGATTGGGATATTCCCACTGCTATACGTGGAGGTAAGAACCCCCCCACCGCCCCGCCCCCCTGATGTACCTGGAGGTGAGGTCCTGCCCCAGCCCCTCCCGCTGCTGTACCTGGAGGTGAGACAGTGCCTCAGCCCCGCCCCCTGCAGGTGAGGGTGAGGCCACGCCCCAGCCCCGCCCCCTGCAGGTGGAGGCGAGGCCATGCCCCAGCCCTGCGCCTTGCAGGTGGAGGTGAGGCCATGCCCAGCCCAGCCCCCTGCAGGTGGAGGTGAGGCCACGCCCCAGCCCCGCCCCCTGCAGGTGAAGCTGAGGCCACGCCCCAGCCCCGCCCCCTGCAGGTGAAGCTGAGGCCAGACTCCCGACCCTTCTCTTGCCCTTTGTGGTTTGCTTCACCAGACCCTGGGATGCCCTGGCCTTGGAGCCCCTCTTCTGAAGAGAAGGAGGCTGCCCCATAGTCTTCTGAATTCAGGTGGGGTTGACCTGTGGGTCACTCCCTCGTCTCACCATGTGGCAGGAGGCAGGGCTTCCCTGAGGACTTCTCTCTTTACAACTGAGCCTGAGCCCTGTTTCTTTCTCCAAGACTCTCAGGGTTTCCCCCAGAGGCACCTGCCTCGATCCCCCCCACACCCCGCCCCTGACTCTGCCAGCAACCGAACAGATGTTGAGGCTCCCAGACTCTGGGTTTGGGGCAGCTGGTGAGTGGCTGGTTCCTGGAGTGGAGCACACTTGGGGCTTCCTGCCTCTTCTCTGGGGCTGATGGCTGATGTGAAGTAGGTATTCAGTGAATGCGTCACGGGCAGTGGCCAAGTGGGGCGTGTCCACAACCTTTGACCTTTCAAGTCCTGGTTGCCGTGGGCTGTGTGTGTGTCCGCTGTTTGTCAGGCACATCTATGTGTGCGTCCCCAGCCTGACCCCACCCTGCACCTGTGCACCCCTGAGTCATCCTTGGAAATCGTTTCAGCCAGTGCTCACAGTGCCTGCACCGGGGACCCTTCTGAGGAGTCCTTGTCTTGCCTCTCACACATCCCAAGCATGAACACCAGGACTGCACCCTCTGCCCCCATGCAACTGATGAGCCGACAGAGGCCCAGAGCTGGACACGATCACAGGTGGACGTCTCTCGACTCGGCTCTCAGCGCCCCCACTCAGAGCCCACAGTCCCCAATTCAGGGTGGGCTGCACCCAATTCCTGGCATGTGGCCAGCTTTGTCTTTGTTGAGCCCTGTGGGCCAGTGGGCTCCGGGCCTTGCAGGATGGAGGCTGCTCTCTGGGGCGGGCAGCCTGGGCTCTCTGCATCGTGGCGTCCTCTGCTTTTCCAGCCGCATCTCTGGCCCTTTCCTCCCATTTCCTAAATGTCCTGCTCCCTGCAGTTCCCATACTCGCTCTAGATCAGCTTCCCAGAAAATTCTGAGACCCTCCCCAGCAGTAACGCCACACGCACATACATGCTCTTCTCTGGTACCTCGTGAGAGGCACTCACGGGCACACACTCTGCCCTCTGGCTCCTGGAATGGACCCCTGTCCTCACCTGTGCATTTGCTCCAGTGCCTGGGGTGGTCTCTATCCTACTGCTTCAGACCCAGAAACCACACAGCGCCGTCCAGATGTGCAGAGTCAGACCCTCCCCCCCGATATCTCTGGTCAGTGGAACCTCTTCCCAGGCAGACCCTTGAGGGGCCACTCAGAGATAGTCATAGGGACATTCCTAGGAGCCTATCATGTCGCCCCAAACTGGAGCCATGTGTTTCCTTGTTTTGTGCTCTGAGCCCCTGGAGGCCAACTGACTTGGATCCACATGTCCTTGTGGGTGGTCACTGGAATCCGCACCTGGAGGGACAAGGTGGCTGCTCCTCTGCCCAGGGAGCCAGCACTTCTTGGGAGCTTCGCTGAGGACCCCTGCCCTGTAGTGAGAGGAGCTGATCCCAGGGAGACCACTCTGTGGAGGGGGAGAAGTCTGGAAGCAGAGGTGAGCAGGGAGTGGGAGACTCTGAAGAGGGGCGAGGAGCCTAGCGGTGACCCCGGAGTCTTAGGGCCAGAACACAGTAGGGCCGCTCTGGTGGACCAGGCCGAGGTGGGAGCCCTGTGAGTCGCCAGGGCACTGAGGACTGGATGGAGCTCGCCATCCCCACAGATGGGGTGGAGGTCAGCCCCACCTGTGGTTGCAGCAGGAGCTCCATCACAGACAGGGTCGCCCACACCCCAGGGGTAGAGAGGCTGACCTGACTGCCCTCACGGAGGAGGTGGCTGGAGAAGAGGGTCTCGGAAGGAACAAGAGATGAGGATGGGACATTGAAGATCTGTGCCTAGCTGTCCTCGTCTCAGCCTCTCTGCAGAAGGTTGTTTGTCAAGAAAGAGTGTTCAGGACGCAGCAGGAGGTGATCTGGGGACTTCACCTGAGGTGTTGAGACCTGTGAGGGGCAGGGAACCGAGGGAAGACGTGGAGGCTAGCAGGCTCCTGGTCAGCCGAGCAGTGGTAGACGTGCCAGAGGACAGGTGTGCGGCTGCGACGCCACAGCCACAGGGTGAGGGTGGCTTTCAAGGAGGAGAAGACATGGCCCAGAGGAGAGGGCTGTGGGCTGCAAGCTGCAGCCCAGGGTTGCACATGGGTGTGAGAGGCTCCACGCAGGTGTGAGGGGCTGAAGGGTGGAGGTGGGGGTGTCCAGAGTGGTGCTGCAGGAGTTCTGTCTCCCTCTCACTGACCCTCCATATCCATCAAAGCTGCCTGCATCCATCCGTCCACGCAGCTGGATGGACGCGTCTGTAGTGGTGTCTGTCGAGAGCCTGTGTCCTAAACCTGGAGCCGTGTGCACATCTGGTGGGCCTGTCCTCTGGCTCCTGCTCCCCCTTCTGCCACCCCACACACTGAGATCAGGATCTGCCCTGATCTGCACAGCCCTGGGGTACCTGCAGATGCCTATATCCTGGATGAGGAGGTAGGGAGGATGAGGATGTGGGGTGAGCCCCAGAAAGTGGGGGCAGCCTCATCCTGGGCATGGGGCGTCCAGAGAGTTCTGACCTTGGGACCAGATCCAAGCCTCTGTCTGCTGGTGGTGCTGCAGGCCTCAGCTGATCCCTGAGGCTGATGTGGTGCTATTTACAGATCCGGGAGAAGATGGAGGCAAAAACTGAAGTCTTGATTTAGCCAAATAGATGTAATGCCCAAAAATGGTATGGTTGCTAATGGCAACTGCTTCCCGTGTGAGAGGCTTGGTCTTCAGCGCGATGATTGCTGTGGAAGTTGTCTGAACCTCGGCTAATTGCAATGTTGAACTTGGCCTTTCTTGTTCCTGGAGCACTATCGTCTCCTTGTCACTTTGCCTTATGAAGAGAGCATATTATTCTGAGCGTCCATCTCCAACTGTGGTATCAGAGCTGCCAATATCCCTGGAGACAAACAGCATTGAAGCTGTCTGTTCTGTTTCAAAGGTGCAGGCTGCCCCGCTCACGTGGGGTTTGCTGACCCAGTAACTGTTGGCTGTTTCTTCACCTTTGTCTCAGGCCCCGGGGCAGGCAGAGTGTTTCCAGGGAGGAGGCTGGGGAGGGTCCTTGGCTTCTAGTGGAAGGTCCACGCCCAGGCTCGGGAGAAGCAGAAGGACACAGGAGCCCCGATCCCCCTCCAGGCCTCAGTGCCTCCACAGACCCTAGGTGTACTTGGGATCCAGGGAATAAACCTGCTGGGGTGTCCCTGGTGGTGGTGGCGGAGCATAGCTCCTGGAAAAGAAACCCTGCATGTCGGGGATGCATGACACTGAGAGGTGGCGTTCTGACTTCCTGCTCTCATTGCGGGGTTGGGGGGTGGGGGTTTCTGACTTCCTGCTCCCATTGGGGGAGTAGGGAGGTGGGGGGCAGTTCTGACTTCTTGCTCCCATTGGGGGATGTGGAGGGGTACTGGAAGGCTGCTTTCCTGGTCTGACTCTGTACCCATAGGCTACCTGGGCTTCACCCAGCTCTGTGATGCATTGGTATCAAGTTTCTCCCTCTGTCAGTGTGGACGGTGCCATGTCCAGAGGGCACCAGGAGGACCCAAGGAAGTACCAAGCACAGCCCCATGTGGGTGGTCAGCACCACCCAGAGGCAATGGTTAGTGGCCGCTGGCATCTGTGAGCAGTGTGTCTGGGGGACGAGGCCTCTGGAAGGGGTGGGAGGCCCTCACAGCAGCTGGGGGACCTGGCCGGCCGTTCCCACTCTCTCAGCCACCCAGGGAGTCAGGGCAGAGGCTCCAAGCAGAGGGGCTCCCTTGGATAAAGGGCCTCTTCTAAATACTTTCTTTCCTACTATGAACAACCAGCACTGCCAGCTTCTAGGAAGTGGCCCTGGTGCCGACAAGGGGATGGCTGTGTGGCCGTCAAGCTGTTAGAGGTCAGGGCAGGTCTGCAGCCAGGTGGTTCTCCAAAGAGAGTCAGTGGGATGGGACCCTTGGGGGGCAGCCACACAGACCCCAGGCCCGCAGGCTAGTGGCCTGATGAATGGTATCAGTTCAAAACCAGCAACTTGCAGCCGCGTCTGGACGATTGACTGTGAAGCTCGAGGTGGATTCACGTGGCGGCAGCTATTCTGAGACTGTCCCATCCCATCGCTTCCCTCGTGGCCAGCAGGTGGGTGGGTGGAACTGGCCCCAGAACCTCCCTGCGGCATCTTGTCATAACCACCCCCCTGCCCCATTCTTTCCTACAGAGGGTTTTGCTTGACTCCGGGGTTTCAGGCCCCACCTGTATGGAAGGAGGCAGGATGCGGCCTCGGTGGGGTAGCACATGGGAAGCATGTGCCCAACAGATGGACAGACAGATGGGCAGGGCCTCTGTGCCACGTACAGGTGGGCTGGGCATCCAGGGAACTGGTCTTTAGAAGGTGGATGGTGTCTTCCTCGAGTTCTGGGGGTGTCTTCTGATGCGCACACTGGCCTTGCTGCTCAGACGTGGGTAGTGTGGTCGGGGTGTCCCCTGGTGCTTTCCCACCAACTCTGGGTTCTGGCTGGTTCTGGCTCTAGGTCCGCTGATGACCTCTTGCCCTGTGAATACTGACCCAATTGGTTT